CATCCTACTTTGGTGAGTGGCATCTGGGGTCTTAAAAGCTTGCAAGAGGCCATCTAAGATGTATCAATTGGTCCCAACCACCTGGAGTAAAGGAGAATGAAGACACCAAGGAAAGTATTAGCCCAAGAGACAGAAGGGGCCACATAAACCGGAGACTTCATCAGCCTGAGACCAGAAGAACTAGATGGTGCCCGGCTACCACCGATGATCACCCTAACAGGGAACACAACAGAGAGTCCCTGATGGAGCAGGAGAAAGGTGGGGTGCAGAACTCAAATTCTAGGAAGAAGACCAGACTTAATGGTCTGAATGAGACTGGAGGAACCCTGGAAAGCATGGCCCCTGGATTCTCTATCAGCCCAGAACTAAAGCAATTTCCGAGGCCAACTCTTCAGGCAGGGATTGGACTGGACTGTGGGACATAAAGTGATACTCGTGAGGAGGGTGCCTCTTAGTGCAAGTAGATACAAGAGATTAAATGGACAGCTTCTGTCCAGAGGTGAGATGGGAAGGCAGAGAGGGTTAGGAGCTGGTTGAATGGACATGGGGAATCGAGGGTGGAAAGGAGGAGTGTGCTGTTGCAGTATGGGGAGAGCAATTAGGGTCACATAACAATGTGTGTATAAATTTTTGTATGGGAAAAAAATTTTAAAAAAGAGTCTGTGCTGGGCTATGTGTATGTGTGTTGGAGGGGAGAGGCAGTGAGGAGACTACTGACCTGCGTTTTGTTTTGCTTCCCTTTCTCCCAGTGTTGATTTAATGTTGGAACATCCCCTGGCATTTGGTCCTTGTCTCCTGCTTTTTTTCTCATTCCCATCTGGGAAACATGGATTCTCAGAGCGAAGGTCAGAGTGCCCAGGCCATTCTGTTCATTTGTAGGCCATTTCCTACAGAGGGGAAATGACCTCCCCACGATCCCAGACCTCCTGACTTCTCCCAGACCTTTCACTTCATTCTTTGCCCCTCTGGAGTCCCTGGCCTTTTCTGCCAGGCCCCTGTGCTGTGAGTGGCCAGGCCAGGAAGAGTGGCAGTTCTGGGGCTGTGGCACTCCCTGAGGTGGTCCCCCATCCCACGGTCTACATCGTTCCTCCACTTCTCACCAGTGCTGCGGTTTCTGCCCTCACAGGTCCAACGGGCGCTCCTCCAAGCGGAGCCTTGGAGGGCAAGGCCGGCACCATTACCTCCAACGAGTGGAGCTCTCCTAACTCCCCTGAGGGGAGCAACGTCTCTGGGGGCAGTCAGGCATTGGACAAGCCCATTGACAATGATGCAGAGGGCGTGTGGAGCCCGGATATTGAGCAGAGCTTCCAGGAGGCCCTGGCCATCTACCCGCCCTGTGGCCGGCGCAAAATCATCCTGTCGGATGAGGGCAAGATGTACGGTAAGGAGCCTTTTGGGGCTGGGCAGCAGGCCCCTGGGCTTATAGTCAAGCCCTGAAAATAGAGCCTAGGAAAGAAAGCTAGACACAGTAACTTTGGGGCTTCCTCTGAGTACCAGAAGGAGAAATGACCTCAAGGAGCTTCTACCAGGTAGACAGACACTGCTTTCTTCTGTCCTGGGTTTATAAGGGATAGGGAGGTGTCTAAGGAGAATCCTTTGAGTAGGTGTGGAGAGTGGGGCGCAGGGAGTCAAGAAGCTGTGGTGGTGGAAAATATGAGAAAAGGGACCCTGAGTAGGGTAGACTGTCCCCCCAGAGCAGACTGGGAAAACCCAAAAGCCATCCCCCAGGCAAATGCCTGACCATCACTAGGCTTCCCACTTTGGCTGTGAAGGTTGTTAGGAATGGGGTCACTGGACACATTCCCTCATTTGTTCATTCACTTATTTACTCATTTATGTAGCAAACATGTGCTGAGCCTTCTGTGTGCCAGGTGTGGTGGGTCACGTCTAGTCCCTAGATCTGAGTGGGAGTAGGAGAAAAGGTGAGCGAATACACAGCTTTAATACAAGGCAAACTGTGGGGAGTGCCCCAGGAGAGGGTCAAGCAGAGTGCTGTAGAACATGCACTCAGGAAAGGCCATCTCCAGCTGGGGTGATCAGAAAAGGCTTGATCTTCGTGAGTGGTTGGGGATCCAGAACATGTAGAGACACCTGTGTCCAGCAGCCATGTGGGAAGGACCAAGCATCTACGTGGGGCCATGTAGACTTTTGGATGCAAGAGAAGGGTATCTGGAAAAGTAAAAACAAACCCAGAACTGAACTGCTGTTTGAAGGCCCTGGTCAGGCCTTTATTCCCTTTGCAAAGTCCCCCAGGACCCCCAGCTTGGGCCATTGGCAGGGACTCAGGCTGGAGAAGGTCCCTGTAACTTACTGAAGTCTGTGACAACAGAGGGTTCCTGTCCCGGCTCCCCGCAAGATGGTTCCAGTTGTTCACTCCTGCGGGTTTCCATTCAAGTTCTCTCCTCCCACCCAGCATAGGTCCTCCTCAGCTGTTTAAAGGCACTCAGTGCAGGAGTCCCTGGGTGGTGCAAACGGTTAATGTGCTCAGCTGCTGACTGAAAGATTGACGGTTAGAGTTCACCCAAAGTTGTGTTGCAAGAAAGGCCTTCCGACCTACTTCCGGAAAATCAGCCATCGAAAACCCTGCGGAGCACAGTTCTACTCAGGCACACATGGGGTCGCCATGAGTTGGAACAGATTCAACAGCAACTGGTTTGTGTGTCAGTGCTGTGTGAGGGGCTCCTGGGGGCTGATTAAACTCAAATCTGGTTGCTTCTGGCCCAGGGAGTAGTAGTGTTCTCATAACCCTCAGTTGCCAGTTGAATTGCTCATCTTCTACCAGTCCACCCCTGTGGCTTTCCTCAGTTCCCACAGAGTCTCTCTTTACATCTGTGGGTGTCCATGTCCTGCGTCGGCCTCTCTGCACCACCCCTGCTCCAACCCTTCCTCCTGCTCTAATGCTTGCTTCTTACTTTTAGCACTAGGGAAGCTTTAAGGAGGAGACAGCTGATGTGTATGGGGCGCCTGTTGGGTGCCAGGTGTGGTACTGAGTGCTTTACATAGGTTATCCTCACTTAACTGATGAAGAAGCTGAGTCTCTGGGAGCCTAGGCTTTTCTATCACTTCAGTGGAGAATGGGGTAGGTGTTGATCATGAGCTTAAGTGTGATGGTCAGAAAGGGCGGGGGCACAGGGGGTGTGCAAGGGAGGACAACTGGTTTGGCAGTAGAGCTGTCGGGTCCTTGGTTGGGAAGACACAATATGGGCACAGGACACTTTACAGAACACGTCTGTGTGCTTTAAAAGGGACAAGTGGTCTGGTAAACATCATCAGGCAAGAGGCATTGAGCAAAGGGTGAGAGCTGAGGGTTACACAGGTGTCTGGGGTGACCCTGTGGAGATGGCAGAACATGGCATAATCAACACTTATTTGAGCTGGCACTGTAGACCAGGGCCTTTGGATGGTTAGTTTAATTTCATCCTTATAGGTAGCTATTTGGGATGGATTGACACAATGGTTGCAACTGCAGGCTCAGACATGACAACAATCATGAGGATGGCACAGGACAGGGCAGCGTTTTGATCTGTTGTACATCGGGTTGCTATGAGTCGTAACTGACTTGACAGCACCTAACAACAGGTAGATATTTCTATGCCCACTTCACATACAAAGATATTGTGATTAAGAGACTTTTCTTCGGTTGCACAGATGACTGTGGCAGAGCCAGGCATGGGGAAATGCAAAGCTGTGGGTTTTGGTAGGACTTGAGTTGGAATTGTTTGGCAGGAGGGGAGCCGTTGAGTAGGGGCAGCAGGATGAAAACGATGTTTGGCAAACTGTCCTGGCCATGCTGGCGTCCTGTATGTGGGCTCCCCTTCCCCTGTGCCGAGAGGCAGGGAGGGGAAAGGGTGAGGAGATCACTCAGAGTAGGACTGGGAGGAAGGGAGAGGAGAGGGGCAGAGGCCTGGAGCCTTTTAAACACCAAACCAAATCCACCGCCGTTGAGTCGATTGCAACTCGTAGTGGCCCTACAGGACAGTAGAACTGCCCCCTGCAGAAGCAGACTGCCACATCTTTCTCCCACAGAGCAGCTGGTGGGTTTGAACTGCTGACCTTTTGGTTAGCAGCCAAGCACTTAACCACTGTCCCACCAGGGGTCCTTAGGAACCTCTTAGTTATGCGTAATAACTCTGGAGTCTCCAAAGGTCTTTAACATGCACTGCCTCTTCGATCCTTTCAGGGGAGGTGAGGGAGGAATTATAATCTTCGTTTTGCAGATGCAGAAATGGGAGTTCATAGAAGCTGAGAATTTCCCCCGAGTCTCTCAGCTAGTAAATGGGATAGTGAGGGCTAGAACCCAAATCTTCTGCCTCCAAACCAGTGCTCCCGCCATCACCCAGAATGGCCTTTGTGAGCCTTCTTCCCTCCTCTCCCTGCTCCACCTCTGGCTTGGCCCCAGCTGCAGGTGGGTCAGGTTCTGGGCAGGGGGCCCAGAGGCTGCAGCAGTATCTGATGACGCCCCCGCCTCCACAACACCTGTCCTCCCTGACCACAGATCCTGCTGGGTGCCCGACGCTGGCTCATCCCCATCTCTTCTTACCAGTCCCGAGGTCTGAGCCCATGCAGGACCTCTCAGGGAGGTGGTAAGGGGCTCTGCGAAGCCTGACCAGTGGGTGGGGGTGGGCATAGAGGGCCCTGAGTGATGTGTGTGATGGGACCTGAGGGAGCAGAGGAGGAGGGCAGACTGACTCAGTCAGACCTCATCTCACTTGGGCTGTTCTTCTCCTGTCTTCTCATCTTCCTATCCTCTGTGTACCCTTAGCCCCATCCTCAGCCCTCAACTGGCATCCCCAGGAACGCCTTTACATTCTCCCTACTTCCCCACATCCAGAGCTCACCAGGCATTTTCCATGTCGTCCAGTCCAGCAGGACACTGGTTGGGGGTTGAGGGCAGGCAGGCAGGAGCAGGCCACAGGCAGGAAGTGGAGCTGACTCGACTCCATGGTGTCGAGAGCAAGACTTGAGACCCGGGAACCTGGCCTTGGCTCTCTGAGGACAAGGATTAGGCCTGCTCCCAGCCCAGGCCACGGCACACCACGAGCAGGGCACACTGACCAGGGCCAGGCAGACATGCAGATGACATGCAAAGCAACGCAACAGATTAATGCCTGTTATTTCTGAGCTGAGTCTCCCATGCTTGTTGGCCTGGGCCCTCCCTTTGAGCAGCCCTCACCTCTCCTGGGCCGGCACCCTGGCCTGGGGCTACTAGCCCCCTCCTGCTTATAGTCTCATCACTTTCATTTTTGCCCAGTCACTGTGTGACCCTCGCCCTGGCATCGTGCTGGTCACTGGCCTCTTTCAGCCAAGCTGGCTGCTGGCCCCTGTGGACAGGTGGTGGGGAGATGGGGGCGGGGTAACTTCTGCCCCATCAGCCCACGTTCTACCTTCTTCTCCTGTCCTCACAGCTCAGTGCTTGCCGGGGCTGTCTCGCTTCTCCCTTCTGTGTGCAGGAGGCCTGTGGCTGGATCTCAGGGTCTTCCTCTGTGTGTTTGTGCCTCTCACTCTTCTGGGCTCCTTCACTCTCTCTTTCTAAAGGTTGCTCTTGGATTTCCTGAGTCTTTCTGCCTCTCCTTTTCTCTCCTTCCCTGTCGCTGCTTTTCCTCTCCTTTCTCCCTTGTCTCACTGAGCCCCATCTCCCAGGCTTCCCACTCCTGTGAGCAGTCAGTCAGTTCTTACTAAGTGCCCCTTACTCTGGACCAGACGAGACTGAGGGCTCTGTGGTCTCTGAGGGTTCTCCAGGACTGCACAGTCTAATGGGGGAAGCAGGAGAAACATCTCTGGAAAGATAACTAACCAGCCAAGCAGGCACTTATATTGCATGCAGTCAGTAAATGAGGGGGCAAGATGACCTTGGACGTTTTCTTTTTTCTTTTTTTTAATTGTACTTTAGATGAAGGTTTACAGAACAACCTAGCTTCTCATTAAACAGTTAGTTTTATGACATTGGTTGACAAACCCACAACATCTCAACACTCTCCCTACTCGAACTTGGGTTCCTTATTACCAGCTTTCCTGTCCCCTCCTACCTTCTAGTCCTTGCCCCTGGGCTAGTGTGCCACTTTAGTCTCGTTTTGTTTTATGGGTCTGTCTAATCATTGGCTGCTAACCAAAAGGTTGGCAGTTCGAATTCACCACGTGCTGCTTGGAAACTATACGGGGCAGTTCTACTCTGTCCTATACAGTCACTGTGAGTTGGAATTGACTTGGTAGCAGTGGGGTTTTTTTTGGTTAATGGCTAGTGATCACAAGCATTTCCTCATGTGTCTGTTAGCTGCTTGAATGTCTTCTCTGGGAAAGTGTTCATTTCCTTTGCCCATTTTCTAATTGGATTATTTGCCTTGTTGTACAGGTGTTGGATTTTCCTGTGGATTTTAGAGATTA